TCTCTTTTCTTCCTCCTTTTATTTTATATTTTATTTATAAAAATTTAAATTTGATTTAGATTGCAAAAATAATATTTGTCAAGATAATATCTTTTTTTCATTTTTTTAGTTTTAAGGGAAGTAAGATAGCAATGGAAATTTAAATATTTCAATTATAATATAATAAATCATAATTTTTTTGCATGTATAGGAATTCCTATATATATATATGTGTGCGCGCGCGCGCGCACGCGAATAAGGGGGAACATTGAGTTTCAAAACGTTCCTGCAGACTAATTTAGTCTTATTATAATTAGAAAACTCTTAATTTTATTGATATTTTATTAGTTGATTAATTAAAAATATCACTAAAAATAATTGAGTCGTATTCTAATTAGGAAACTTTTAGAATTTCTATACATAGAAAAATACTATAATTTAATATCTTATAATTTTAAAAACCACTTCATAAAATAATTCCACCAACATTATTTCTTACAACAAAAATTACTCATCATCAATTATTATTGCAAATCAATCATCAATTATTATTGCAAATCACACCAATTCATTTAGTATTTACACCTTATAAATATTATTTCTGTAATGACACCAATGTATATATTCCATCCAGAAAAATGTTTACCTCAATAGCCATAATAAATTCCACCAACCAATATCACATAATTTCATCAAATAGATATGCTCAAATCAATACTCTAATTACATACATCCTAATGTCCTTGAATCCGAATCATCTAGTTCGCTTATTCATTAACACTAACAACTCATTCTCAACATACCTTTTCCGCAACATCCATCACGTATTAAATACACTAGCATACTTTTATCATTTAACTTCAACCTATTAATCATATATCACTTATTTTCTTACATAATTACATTATTGAATTATTTATTCCATAGGAACACAGGAGATATCGATGATAGAAAGAGTACAACTGGTGTGCTGTACTATCTGGGAGAAAATCCTATAACTTGGGTGTCGCAGAAGCAGAAGGTTGTGGCTTTGTCATCATGTGAGGCCGAGTATATAGCTGCGACTGTTGGAGCATGTCAAGGTGTATGGTTGGGAAGAATTTTGAGTGACATCAGTCAAGTACAAGTGAAAGCCAGGCTTAATGTTGACAATAAGTCAGCTATTGCGTTGGCGAAGAATCCTGTTTACCACGATCGAAGTAAGCACATTGATACCAGGTTTCATTTTATTCGTCAATGTACCAACTTAATGCTCTGATACCAACTTTGTCATATATATTGTCACGACCCGTTTCCATGGGCCGGACCGGCACTAGGACCTGGGTGGGCTTAAGGCCCCCGAAGCCCATAGTAAGCCTATATTATACAAATGTCATTTCCTATTCATAACCGTGGATGCAAGCCCAATAATTTATTTCAGTTATGTATCACTAATACAGTTCGTATATTTAATATGGACTTTTATTATTTATTTACAACCCAACTGGAATACAATTGCGGAACTCTACATTTACATTTACATCGTCATTTCTATCATTAACAATCTTCTATAATTATTGTCTCAACTCCATAGGATTTTTCTTTCTTCTATTACCTGGAAAAAAAATAATAAGTAGGGCAGGGGTGAGCGCCAAACTTCAATGAGTAGGGGTTAGATAACTCTCTCACCCCACACAATCACACAGATGCTAAAAATATTTTTATTCTAGTCACTGATTAATTTTTATTGATCATGCAGGTTTGTCCCACAAATGGCATTAAAGCAATCACAATTATTATCACCTTCATATTAATTCACCATCACGTTGGAAATTAGTCAGTGGAGTCACCGAAACCCCCGAATGAGCAGTTCCTCCCACAATGGCCCATCCTCTCACGTGTGCACCAGGGAGCCGATTTCCCCCATTTCTGGCCGAACCGGTCTAATCCTCACTTGGACCCAGCCCTCTCATTGTTTTTCCATCCTTCTCTCTCTCTTTTTTTTTTTTATTTTTTTTTTTTATACCAACAAGAGGCAACCCGGTCGTCTCCATCAAATCTAGATCATCAGGCGCTCACAACAGGAGGCCACCCTGGGGGGCTGCGATCAAACCTAGATTATCCGGTGCGCCCAAATAAAGAAGCGAACCTGTGGTTAACAGTAACAGTAACAGTAGGTGCACACGGGGGCGTCGATCTCCCATTTACCCGACTAACAGTAATCAGTATCAGGATCCATATAACAGTAACAGTCTCATAAACCCATGGTGACCCACTTCATCCCAATCCCACACAAACAAGGCACAACAATATCACATTCACAGATAATCAAGCAATATTTAATATCAACAAATAGTGCATCACAATATAGCAATAATGCATGATAACATTTAATGGAATGCATGAATGCAAGGGATGAGGCAAGATTATCTAACACTATTCACAATTTCTTTATTGTCCTCTAAGGGGATGCCTTTCCTTAGCCACATGCTTCCGAGCCTTTGTCCTTTGATTTCGGATTTATAAACCTCTAAAATAAACAAAGAAAATTCTAAATAAGAATGTTCGATTTAAAATTATATTTCACATTTCGTCTTATTTTATTTCGGGTTCAATCGGTCATTTATTCACTTATTAATTTTAAACCTTATTATATATTTAGATAGATATATATTGGTTCCGTATTTATTTATCACTCTAATAATACTTACTCTATTATTGTTTTAAGTTTCTATAAAAACTTAATCTCTATAAGTATTAATTGCTTTATAATTATTTTTATTTTCGTACCGAAATTTATTTTATTTTCGCTATACCGAATTTATTTTTTATTTTTCTTACCGAAATCCGGCAGAATCTCCCCTAAAATTCAAACTATCCACCAATTAACTCAGTTAATCATTTTATCAAGTTTTCTCACAGCCCATCAATCGGGCAATCAATTCAGTCATATTAGTCCACGTCCTCCCAAATTTATCCACATTCAAACAATATTTTGTTCATTTTTCTATAAATTCCTTAATCCAAATTTCCTAATTTATTTATTGATCGAGATTTAATTTTAATTCGATTCAAGTAATTTTTATTAATCATGGCATCAACACTTAAATTACATTAATTTAATTAATCAAGTAAATTAAACTAATCAGTAGACTCGAACCACATTAAATATACATTTAACTAATCAAAAATTGCTAAATTAAATTAATTAATCAAGATTACTAAAAATAAATTTAATTCACTAAAAATTATAGCCAAATTAAATTAATTAACTACAATTACTAAAAGTAAATTAATTAACTAAAATTACTAAAATTAATTTATACCCCAAAATATAATTTTTTTCTTGCTAGATCAGGGATTTACGCGTGCCCGATTGAAGCTACACGCACTGGGACAGCAAGTGGGTGGCGCGATCTGACTGGCAGTGGCAGAGAAGCGGCAGCGGTGACAGATCAGACCTGTCGGAGGCGCGCTGGAGCGACAGCAGTGGCAGCGACAGGCTGTGGCATTGCTGCAGAGGGCTGGTGGCGGCTTGACGAACTGGAGATCGTGCTGCGTTAGGGGCTGCTGTGCGCTGCACGATCTGGCAGAGGGTGGAGCGCCGCTGCTGGCGTGATGCGACGAGGAGCGACGGAGGAGTGGTGCTGGCGCGCGACGGCTCCGCTCGAGCTGGTGGAGGCCGATCGCTTCTGCAGCAGTGGAGTTCGCTAGGCGCAGGGAAAAAAAGAAAGAAAAAGAAAAAAAGACAGAAGAAAAGAAAGAAGGAAGAAGAAGAAAGCAGGAGGAGAGAAGAAGAAGGAGGTGCGACGGTGGCGTTGGTGGCAGCGTGCGGTTTATACGGCGTGGTGCTGCGTGGAGTGCAGTGCGCTAGGATTGCTGAGTGAGGTTGAGATCAGCGCTTGAAGTAAGAATTAAAAAAAAGAGATGTTTCTAGATGGTTTGGGCTGTTTTCGGTTCGATTTCAAGCCAAATTCTCAGATTTTTGGTTTTGATTTAAATCTCGATTTTTGTTTGATTTTGATTTTTCAGTTGGTTTTCGATCCGGTTTATCATTGTACGAATTATTGAATTTGCATTTAAATAATTAACTGCATTTCCAGGCTGTCAGTTTATTAAATTTAATTGGAAAATTTTTGAAAATAAAAATTCGAGTTATTTCAGTTTTGTTTCGCCTCTCTTTCTCTGCGCATCTTCTTCACCCACAATTTTGTCTTCTCCTCATCTTGAGATTCTTTGTTTTGAAGTAATGTTTTTTTTTTTTTTTCTTTTAAACAGATTTTTCTTTCTTTGAATTCTATTTTTCAAAAAAAAAATTTCTGATCTTTCATCTGGGTTGTTATGATTGCAGAGGTTGGTGAAAGTGAGAATGGAATAGTGGCACCATAAGAAACGAGAAGGCATCTTAATGAAGAGACCTCAAACTTAACTCAGATCTAATATTCGTAGCGAAACGCGAAGGAAAAGCCCTTTGGATAACCTTAAGCAATATATTGATCGCTAGAATATCATCAATGATAATTACTGGGCTGTGAGTTATCTTTTTTGTCTTTTTTTATTTTCCTCTCAATTGCAAATTTGAGCGATTTTTTTGCCAGAGGCATTAAAATCTTCCATCTTATTCAATTAAATTTTCGTTTTCTCTTTCCCATCAGTTCTTGAACATGTGGAAACCAACATGGCATTTCAAACGATGACATTTCAACCGCTTATGAGACGTCAATGCGAGTGTAATTTACATACAAGCTTCAATTTGCTTATGGGTAAAAAAGAAAAAAAAAAAAAAGAATTAAGTTGACAAACGGTCTCTCATAAAGTTAAGAGACAAAATGACAATTTAAAGAAAATTTAAGGAGGTAATTTAAAAAAAATTCAGGGAAAATTATGCATTTGGCCAAGTTTATTGGAATTATCAAAATCCCTTGTTTAGTATGGATGAAAATATAAAAGAAGATGTAAAATAATTTTTAGCCTCATTTTCACTTCATTTTGGAAGGAAAATAAATAGTAAAATTTTACACTCTAATTTTACCTCCTCTCTCATTTTACTTCCTCCTTCCCAACCACAGCATTAGTCTTCTGTCTTCTAAAGTCTAAACCCTTCCAAAACCCTTAATTCCAAGGATACCGCCTAATGTCTCTCTTCAGAACCATCCTCTTTAAACCCCAAAACCTTCTCTATAAATCAGATAAACTTGTACCCATCATTTTCAACTCTGATATCTACCGATCATTTACCTCCTCTCCCCAGAATCAATCTGAAACCCAAACCGACCAAAACGAGAAGCCTCTAAGCCTTCTATTTCAACAAGCAGTAGGTTTATGTGATAAAGATGAAACAGACGTGGAAAGTGGAAGCCAAAGCAATGAGTTACAGAAGAAGTTATTGGATTTAGAGAGAGAAGTTAGGGATTTAAAAGAAACGGAGTCAAAGAATGGACAAGAAAACCAAATTTTAAAGAAAGTTGAATCAGAGAAACCAAATAGTTTGCATGTGTTGTTTGAAGGGAAAAGGAAAAAGAATGTGGAGTTAAAGGATGAAAAAGAAAATCGAAATGGAAAGAAAGTTGAATCAGCGAAACCCAATAGTTTATATGTGATGTTTAAGGAAGGGAAAAGGAAAGACAATGCCGCAATTAAGAGAAAGGAAGAGGAAGGGCCTAGGGTTTTTAAGGAGTTTTCGTCCGATATGAAAATTTTTCTTAGTCATTTGTATGAAAATGGGTATCTTAAGGAAGCTAATTTTTTGAGGAGGGGTGAGCTCGATTTTAATTGCTTCAATGATAGCTATGGCAGGGGATTTATTAGGTTTGCGGTAGAGAAGTTTGGCCAGGATCACCAAGAGATTGCTAAGTAAGATGATTTCTGCCTCCTTTTTTGTAATATAATTTATATTTTTGATGTAATTGTTTCAATATGTTGTTCTTCATTTGACAATCCATTGGAGAGAGTAATTATTATTAAGTTTTGCATTATAGATCTTGTTGTTTATTTAGGTGGAGCTATGCTGTTATGCCACTTTTTTTTCCTTCTCATTTTTCTGAGCTTCAACATTTTAGGGCCATGGAAAATGAGAAAAGAGCCTGAAGCCTTGTTAGAATTGCACATCAGGATGTGTTGCCTTGCGCTTTTAGTTACAGTAGTGTGCTTAGGGAAGAGCTTCTTATAGAGTTGAAGCAGTCATAGCATACAAACTTTCTTAAGTTTCCAAGGTGCTTCCAATTTGGGTCTTGTCTAATGTCTTTAAATGTGAATTTGGATATGGTAGAGGTCTAGAAGAATATGAAAAAATGGGGGACGCTTTCTAAGAGCACTGTGGGAACTTAAAATTTAGTTTTAGACAGATATTCAATTTAGCATTTTCATGTCTTCTCCAGTTCCTTTATCTTCCCTTGTGTCTTTATGCTCACCATTGCCTGTGCTTATTGGTCATCTGCTTTACATAGGTTAATCCCATTTAAATAATACAACCAAGAGGTTATTGAACTCAGCATCACCTTTACTTGTTTAAAATCTTATATATCAGGTAATAGGTGTTGCACCTGTAGGATATATTGAATTCTACAAATGCTACCAATAAATATCCACCTTCTTGGCCTAAGAGCAAGGAAGACAGTATTTTGTACTTTTAGACTTTCTGTCAATATCGTCGTCTGTCAAAGGCTGAAAGCTTTTTTAAACAAGTAGCACAGTACAACGAGAGGAGCAATTGTGGGTGTAGTAAATACCTGGTCTAATCTCTATACTTGCACACACCAAATGCTCTTGTACAAGTTGGATTTATATTTAGCCCTTCACTGCGTCATTCTATAGCAGCATGAAGCTTTGTAGGATCTAGGTATTTTAGATTGTAATGTAAATAAAATGCAGAAACATAAGACTAAAAAAGAATTTATGGATAAAATCCAATTAAAAGATAAATGGCATATTTGAGTCTTAATAAATGGAGATATTCCAATCCTGCTTATCTCCTGGAGATCATGGTTTTCACTGAGATATTACAGTTGCTTCTGATATAGTTGGATCATAAGACCCTTTTTCACAATTTTTCACTTGAAAAAATCGTCAATTCCTGCGGATGTTTGGTAATTTATGCAGTGGTCTCATTTTCCCAACAAGCAACTATGACTGCAATTTTCGAACTTCAATGCAAATGCAGTTGCAGTTGGGGGGGGGAACTATGGACTTGCAATTTTCGAACTTTCAATGCAAATGCAGTGCAGTTGGGGGGGGGGGGAGGGGTGGCGGCGAGGAGGAATGCGCGTAACTTTCAATATCTAAAGCATGGGGGGGGCGGCGGGGAGGAATGGGTAAACTTCAATTCTAAAGCATTTCTAAGTTGGGTATTTTGATAGAGTTCATGGCTCATGAAGTTCATTCCTTTTGAAGTTAATTGTCATTTTGGCTGGAACTGAAGCTTTTCAACTATTTTAAAGGAAGGGTTTTTATTAGTAAATCTGAAATTGCAAATGGTAAAGAACTGAGGCTGCAGCACACTACTATTAGTTTTCAGCTGGAAGGATCGCTAGAAAATTAATTTTCCTTGCCTTGCTGCCACATTTAGACCAGGTACAGAGTAAAAACTGTTCATGGTAATGAAATTCTGCAAAGTGCGGAATTACAATGTTATGCTTCTCCATTTTTGTTCACTATGGGAACATGACATTGGATTTTCAACATGAGATAAATGAATTGACTGATAATTTGATTTTTATCTATAAATTTTCAAAAGTATCATTGTTACAATATTATGTTCCATAATCAGAGGTATCAAATTACAGATTGGCTTTTGCAAGTACCTCACAAAACTCAGCCATCTTGTGTTAGGCTAAATATTGCCTCATCTGACTCCTTTGCAAATTTTTCTCCCTATGAGTCTGAGAATCACATCCGATAGAAATATGGTTATGTTCATAATTTGTTGTTCATATGGTTTAGTTCCATAAACATTCACTTCCCCTGTGTTTCCTCCTCCTATTTGTTGTTCTCTAATATTTACAAATTAAATCTTGGATTTACAGATGGTTATCAGGAAGTGACTTGAAAAAGGTTGCCCTCTTTGGTTGTCCCTCCCTTACAAAAAAGAATGTTTTTTCTGCTAAAAGATTGCGCAATTATTTCAAAATTCAAGAGAACACTGTAAGACATCTAATTGTCCAATTGATTTTATCATCGTTTCAGCATTCAAATGAAAATTCTAATTTTCTTCTATTTCCATTTATATGCTCTTCTCAGGTATGTGATAAATGTGTCTTAAAACATTCATGCAAGTTTGTGAACCAAAGTGTGTGGAAAGGCGATTACAGGAATTTGAATTTGGCTGTTGCAATGAGAGCCATCACATTGTACGCTTTGGAGGAAGTAGAACCAGAGTTGTTAGTGCCTGATGAGATAAAGGCTTCTGTCAGCAGGTTGTTAAAGGAAGTTTTGAGGTTGAGTAAAACTGTCATGTGAAACAACACAGACGCAGATGTGAGTAACTTCGCTAGCTAGTTGGTTTTTAAAGCATATTTATAAGCATGCATAACTGTAAAACTATTCAACGTGCTCGCGAGTTGGCTCATTTATTAGACTTGTGAACAGGCTTGTTTAATAGGCTTAGGAGCCTGCTCATTTAATAGGCTCGTGAATTAGCTCATTAATATTTATTGTATTTTATTATAAATATATTAATTTTATTAATAATTTCTTTAATTATTATATTAATAAATAAATTTATACTTATGATAATTTTTTGTTATAGATTTAAGAGTTATTTGTTTGAGTTGAATGCTGAATCTCTATCTGCTATATTGTTGGGCTAAATGATTAAGAAGTGTTAATATGGTACTGGTTTATGGTTATAAGGGTAATTTTATCTTTTCATCTAATAAGTTACATAGCTTATTGAATCAGTTTAAAAATAAATTTTGATTCGGTTAAAATTTGATTTGCAAATTTAGATAAATAACTTGTTAATATAATTTAAATGAATAAATAAATTTGTTTTTTTTATTATCTAAATGAATAAGTTGAAGTTTAATAAGCTATAATTTGAACTTCAACAAACTGCTTATTGTAGTGAAATGAAATTATAATTAGATAATATATTAAAATAGAGAACATGTTTTTATACAAAAGCTACATAGTTTTGAATATGATCTAATCAACATTTTATAGCAATATTTATATACAACTTTTCACTTTAAAAATAAATTGTAAATAACCGATTAAAGTATATTTATTGATTTTTAATTATACTTATTTATATCATAACTAATTTAATTAAACTGCATCATTTTAAATCAAAATAAATCTAAAACTTTCCTCAATTAATATATATGTTAGTTAATATATATTATTTTTACTTTAAACTATAAAACTAATAATTGGATAATATTCCCCTCAAAAAAAATAATTGGATTAATAATTTCTATATAGTTAATTATGTAATTTCTTATACATATATATAAATAATTTAACTAGTAAGTATATATAGTCTTGCGTTAAATAAAAAAATTTATGTATATATAAAATAGATTATAGACTTATATGTGTGTGTACATGTATATATGAATAAATATATTATCTGTCTTTTTTTTTTTTTTTTTTTTTATTAGACTTATATGTGGTTGTACATGTATAATATGAATAAATATATATCTGTCTTTTTTTTTTTTTTTTTCAAAATCATCAGTATTCGAACTGTTATTAATTTTTTTTTTTTTTTTTTTCAAATCATCAGTATTCGAACCTGTTATTAAGACCGTCTAATCCGGCTGGGGGATTAGTGAAGATCGAACCTGAGAACTCTTTCCATATATCCAGCCTACGTTTATATTATCTATTTCATATAAATTAATTATATATGAATAATTGAAATTATAATGATCTTAGTTAACTTTAATATCATTATAACATATAGTATTATGATTAAACATAAATTTTTTCAAAAATGATTAAACATAAATAATCATAAGTAATAGAATTTATTTATTAATTTTGACAACTAGTAATATAGTTTTAATTAACTATATTGTTGACATAGTTCTCCAATTATCACCATTTTAATTATCACAATATTTCAATAATATTATTATTATTGTATTATTGAGTAATTGGAAACATGTATTCAAATTGAATACCTCTTATTAAGCTCTTAGCGAGAGTGTAGATTCGAAATCCAACTCTTAAGTTAATGTTGAGAGTTTAAATGCGAGATCCAACTCTGAGTTAATGTTAACGAACTGAGTTTAAATTCAATATATAAACCTCAAACAAATCGAGCTCCAACATAATAATTTCTTAACAAAGTTATTCATTTTGATTCAATGCACTAATTGGTTCAATTTGATTTTTATCCTCAAAATATTCAGTTACTCGGTTTGTATTAATTTAATTCAATTTGACCCAAACCAGGAAAATGCCCACCCTAGAGATTTAAAGTTGAGCACAATAAGAGTATTGAGGATAGAGGCTCACACTATCTTTAAAGAAAATTCCCCATCTATCTTTAACCATTACAAGATTATGGGGACGCAATTGTGCAGAATGGATAGATAGTTTTTGCCTGATGACCCATTACACTATTTTAACTTTGAAACATGAGAAATCATCATATCTAATTATAAAAAATGGGCAAAACGCAAGAACACATTACTTCAATCCTCTTGTAATAAAGCAGCTAGTAGTATTACAAACCAATTAACTGGTCCGATATCTCGGGGTGAGTTACACTTCTGCAATTTGTAAGAACATTTTCCACCAGCGTAATGTTACAAAATCAATCTCTCATTTCACTTGCTAATCAAGTTCTCACCAACCTCAGACCAAAATGATGATCATATACAAAAAATGCACCACTGCAAAAAAATTGCCTAACTAAAATCACAACAAATTTTCCCTTTTACCTTTTTTTCCATTACTCGTATCTTGGATCCATAGTTTAGGTTACATTCCTCACCTGCAAGTAAAGTGGATTCCAGATCTCTAGAAATGGGACATGATGAGGATTGTGCAGTGACCTCTGTAATGTATTTATGTATGAGTTTCAGAAGAAGCTAGTTTATTGTTTATGAGAATGCTTCTTTTTTCCAAAACGCGGCTCTCCCTTCTCCCTGCTCTGTAATAACTTCAAAACAAAGGATATGAACCCTATGGCAGACATGGCATAAAATACTTTGTATGGTTCCAAGCCCAAGCCAGAGAGATAGGAATAATAGCCAGCAAGTAGGTAGACAAAATCCAATCTCAATTCCTTACCAAGAATGGCTGGGAAGGCAAACAGGGAATTGCTCTCGGGTTTCGAATTAAAGATACCATGAAGAATGACCCCAATGCAAAGAGCTGAATCCAGGAACCATGGAAAGCTATGACCCAATCCTATTCTCTGCAATCATACACAATTTTCAATACGAAGACATTTAACTGAATGAATGAAGAACCTATCTTTTCTTACATCAAAGAGAATTGGTTCGTTAGTATCAAAATTATGCTAACACATCCTGGTACTGGTAGAAATGCTCAAGTCACAACCACTTGGCTCAAACATTTTTTTTTTTTTTTTTTTTTTTTTTTTTAGCTCAAACATTTTTCTTTTTTTTTTTTTTTTTTTTTTTTTGGAGGTATACTGCTTATTTTTTTTTTTTTTTTTTTTTTTTTTTTTGGAGGTATACTGTATCTATCATTTTGCATTTTGGAAAAAAAAAAATTCATGACTGAAGAGTATGTATAACAAGGGTTTATCCGACAGGAAACAAAGCATTAATAATGTGTGAAAGAACTATTTCTTCCAAGCCCATATGACATTCGAGTTTAAGATTAGATATATTACTTTTTCTCCATGGTTGGAAAACTTGGTACAACTTATAGTAGATTATTCAAGTCCCATATCTGTGCACTATTTTAGGAATTAATTTGGCTAGTGGCATGCCAGGGAAAAAAATTGATGATCCAGACACATTCAAGATGTCAAAGAAGTGATAGATGCAGTGGTTATACCCCATAAAGTGAACAGATAAATCATTCGCACCTGCAACCAAGCCACAAGAGAGGGGACAAACATCAGTGCTCCAAGAAGATGCAGGATCAGCAAGCCTTGTTGGTGATGGAAGATTTCTAATTGTGTGTCACCGAAACTTTTTGAAGAGTTTGGACTACCCATGCTATTCTCCTCAATTGGTGAATTCCGGTTGAAAACACTTTCATGTTCAGATGCCAATTCCTCAGTTCTTCCATTTCCTTGATCTTTAAAATCAAACAGTTCCTTTCTCCGTGCATGACTGCGAAAGGAAGCCGTCAAAAAACTGTTACAGAACATGGAACAACTCTTAGGATGTATCCACAAAAAGCACTGGAACAAAGTGTGTAAAACAATGCATGTAGAAGTTAAAGCTTCAAAAGTACCTGCACAATGCATTATGACAGCATAATGCATGATACGAGAGAAGTATGAATAAACCCAGCGCTGGATGAACAAAGCATCCAAGGGTAATTGCAGTCAGTGCAGTTACAAGTACGGGATTGACTCTTAGAACCCTTACGACCTGCTTTATAAATAAATTATATCAAGAAAATAAGTCAAAGCATCAACCAGGGGAAAAGAAAAATGAGTAGGGAAAGAGTCCCAGCAGGAAAATAAAGACATATCAATCAAAATGGACCATCCAAAGAATTATATTTTTTGGGTATAACACCCAAGTGGACTATCCCTTGCCTTGAAGTGAAACCCAGGACCAGAATTCAAGTAGAGTGTTACAAACGAAGAGCGTGCTTAGCTCAGGTTACACAGTCTACTGCTACCATTCTGATTATAGAATTTGTACGACAGGTTAGAGCTCACCTTTAATGAAAAAAAACTGGAGGAGAGATTAATAAACCAATGAAGGAATCCTAAGCAAAAATTTCCTTCCCATCCTTGCCACCTACAAGTATTAACTTTCCTTATTCAGTAAATATAGTAGTAGCTAAAGCTAATGCATACATACATATATATTATATATTAGAACAAAAGAGGCTTCCATCAGTTAGATTCCTCTAAACATTTCATAAATTATCAAATTTCAAGCAATAGAATCTGTAATTAAAGGCTAAAAACAAATATCAAGGTAAAGCTGCTGAGAAACGACTGAAAATTTAATAATTTAATTCAGAAAATCTGTCATTGGCCCATCATCTATTCCCAGAAAAAGTATTAAACAGCTTTTCTAAGAACACCATAGAATTTTAACAATCACTGGGAATGATGGCTTCTAAAAATCTCTCAAAATTCTCTTTAAAGGAGGTTCTAAGATTAGAATAGCACCCTAGTTTCATTGGAAAAAGAATAGCCAAATACAAGAGAAACCAGTACTGTCTATCAAAAGCAAAAATAAAATAACTAGTAAAATACTACAGTACACAATATCTATTCTATTTTCCTTCAATAACCATGCAGTTTGGCCAAATTCTGGTTGAAGGACATCTTTTGTTTACACTGGATCAGAACTGAAGGTCCTTGACATGCAGGAAAAAAGCATATTTATTCAACAAGTAATTCCTAGTTACAGTTTTTCTCCTCTCTTCAATCCAAGTCCAGTAGAATAACAATGTTTTGGATGTTGAGTTGTGTTATCTAGTGGTTTTTCACTTGAACATATCAAAAGAAAAAAAAAAAAAAAAAAAAAAAAAAAAAAAAAGATTGTGTTATCTAGTGGTTTTTTCACAATTCGAACATATCAATAAGAAAAAAAAAAAAAAAAAAAAAAAAAAAAACTTAAGTCTACATAATATAAAGCATTCTAAAAAAAAAAAAAAAAAAAAAAAAAAAAAAAAAAAAAAACTAGTCTGACATAATTAAAGCAATCCTATCAAAAATATATATAACATGCTTAAAAAGTGAAATCAACCAGCTGATGGATAAGTTTACAAAAGACAATGTTCCTTACATGTAGGAGCTAAGAACACATATGCTCCCAGTGATTTTGTTGAAATTCAATTATAAAACAGTTTTAAGCACATGATACTTCAAAATCTTTGGGCTCCATAACAAAAGACAGCTAACTGTAAATGGAGTTAATATCAGAACCATGAAGTATCTCACTATCTCTCCCATCTCCTCTTTTCCTTTTCACCGCCATTTCTAACATTAATAAACACATCACTGAATAAGTATAGCATAAAAGATAAAGGCAGCTAAGCTTACAAACCTTGTCTTGATGAAAACATGCATGATGGCAGCCGCATAGAAGATCAATTGGGAAACAAATGTAAGCAGAATTATGAACCCATTTGCAAATAAATAGCAAATCACTGAAATGATGATGAAGCTTGCAAATGGAGGAAGGGGTTGAGACATCAGCAAGGAAATGAGCAAAGAAAACAAAATGGGTATGACCCCTAGAAGTAAAAACGGTAATGGCATTCTCAAATTTGATTCCACAGCTGTCAACATTGAAGGGAGGGGCAAATCAAGATTCCACGCATGTGCTTGCCGCATTAGAGCAAAAAAGATAGCTGCAATGGAGAAACCAACTATCTGCACAGAAGAAAATCCCATAACATGATACAGCTTAGTTTTTTCGCCAAGCTTTAAATAATACCAGCAAAAGTTAAGCTTTCATATCCGTATAGAATCCAGTATAACATATTACTAACTCTCCTTTGATAAGGACAAAATCACTATATGGAACCAAATATGTATTTCTAAATGCATTTTGGCAAACATATCATATAAGTTCACAAAAGATTTTAGGCATTGAAACTGTCACTCATATATGAGCTTCAAGTAATTCTACAACTGTAAGTTCCTTCTGAAAATATTGGATAATTGGCCAATTACATCTATTTAGTACAACAGCTCATAACTACCGCTGTTTCATAGATTCCATTTGTTTCCGGATAATATTTTCCTGTATAACATTTTCTAGGTCTTCCAATATTTAAGACACTCAAGAAAATTAGCCAACAGAAAATATTTTCCTGGCTAAAGGAAAAATTATGTCATTTTAAAAGAAAGTGACGTCTCTTTTTAAGAAAAAGAAACATTTTCCAAACATTAACAAACTTACTATAACACAATAAATCCAACGATCACCAATAGTCACTATTACCGACCACCTTTAACCAACACCAATCACTAGCTACCAGCTACCATCATTGACTGGTAACTACCACAACTGATTATTGTTATGTATTTCTTTCATATTTTATAAATTTTTATAATACGAAGTTTTATAATTAGAAATATTTTCCTATTTCTTAGATAAAAATTTTAATTGTATTTCTTATATCTCATCAATCGATTACATAGGTCTATATATAAGTGTTGAAATCTTTGTGATTAAAGTAAATATTGTGTTTCTTAGTTTAGGTTTATTCCTAACTAGTGTAAAGATTATGTTTCCTAGTTTAGGGATATTCCTATTTAGATTACTTCCTATATTGGAACAATTTTTGTATATATATAGTGGAGTAGAGGTTGAATTTGTTAATATATAGTGGATTAGAGTATATATATAGTGGAGTAGAGGTTGAAAATACATCACAAATTGAAAGAAATAAAAACATATTCTTTCCTTTAATTTCTACATGGTATCAAAGCCATTACCGTGAATTTTTCGGCAACGGTTTCGGTTTGAAATAGGACTGAGATACAAACAGTGCCGCCGAGAGTGGGAGTTGGCCGTCACCGCCCACCTCAGAAGGAAGAGGGACCGCCGATCGACCCTCCGTCCAAGCCGCATCGCCGTTCGACCAAGCGCGTGTGCACACGCGCCTCCAGAAGACTTCGGCCGTTCTTCACGCGCCGGCTCGTGGGGCTGTTTCCGGCGAGCTCCGTCGACATTTCTTGTTCCGACAAGCTCGACGACTTGTGGAGATTTTTCCCCTACTGTTCTTCAGCAACAGTTTTGTGTTTGGAATTTTTTTTTTCCGTTTTTTCGGTGTTTTTTCTGCCACTGCTGGTCCTTCACACTTCTGTTTGAATTTTTTTTTTAATCTGACAGTATGAGTGACGGAAAGAAGGTGGATATAAGTTTTCACTCAGAGAATCCCTCACTTCAAATTAGTCCAGTGAAGTTAGATGGAACAAACTACCTGGCTTGGCCTCGGTCTTGTTTATTATTTATTGAAGCAAGAGGTTTGCAAGGATACCTTGATGGTGGCAAACCAGTTTCGACAGATCCGGGTTTTAAACAAATGGAAATCCGAGAATTCTCTATTATGTCTTGGTAATTAAATTCTATGCCAAAAGCCAACTATTTCCAGAGGATATTTTGCTCTTGATACAGCTTAAGAAATATAAAAATGCTGCTCACAGGACATAATTCACAAAACTGGGAAACTATGCTGCAGAGGTAGAATTGCGGACAGAAAAGTTCATGAAACCAAGCAGGAGATCTGACCATCGCTCCGAGTATTGCCCGCGAACTTAGTGGTATGGCGAGAACTAGATTAATTATCAAGATTTTCAAGCAAGATGTACTAGATGATGCCACTGCAAGTTCAGAAGTTGATTTAAGTAGAACGTGTATGATTTTCTGGCTGGCCTAAATAACGAGAATGATTCATATTCGAGGTCCAAGTTCTTGACGAATCCTTTTCCATCCTTACAACAAAGCATACTCATTTGTACAGCAAGAGGAGAGCTAGGAGGAACGCTATGGGTTCACAATCTACCATGACAAATAAGGGTTGATTGCAATCTGCAAGAGAACATTATTCAGCCTACAAAGAACAGTTCTTCAGCATAGAGAATCATTTATTTTGTGACTATTCGGTAAGAACAGGCACAACCAAGGAGTTCTGCTGGAAATTACATGGACGCCCAACTAAAGGGCATGGAGAAAGCGGTACAGGTTCTTTCAGACCCACAGGCACAGTATATCTAATAGTGAGCTTTATTGAGGAACCATTCTACTATCTAGAAGCTTTTCCTGATAAAGGAGATTCAGTCCCTGAAACGATTATTGTTCACAGCTGATTCGTCCTCAACTCAGACTGCGGCCTCCAAAATTTTGTTTAATTCAGGTAATGCTTTTCTACCTTTCTTGAACAAAATTGCCAAAACCTTCTTGGGTATAGATTCAGGACGATTCAGGAGCAAATAAACATACAACAGGCTCTATAAAACATTTCCTCACATATTCTAAATATCAAGGCACAGACAAAATTCGCATTGCGGATGGCTCTTTAATACCAATTGCTGGCACAGGTTCTATTGACTGTACTTCCAATATTAAACTCTCTCATGTTCTTCATAGTCCCAGATTTCCTATTAATCTGTTATCTGTCAGCTTAATCACAAAAGCACTTAATTGCAAAGTAACTTTTTACCCGCCTCATTGTATATTTCAGGAACTGAACACAGGGAGAATGATTGGCAGTGGTAGCTTGCGCGATGGACTGTATCTGTTGGATGACATTTGTCGTTTTTCATTTTCAAGATGCCAGAGAGCAAGAGCGCGATTAGGAACTCTAGAAACGCCGCTTCCGTAGTGACACCGTCTCATGACGATGATAAGGACGGAGGAACAGTGTCCTCTTTTTTCCTGTTTTTTAGACGTGTTATTTCCACTTTTGGCAATCTTGCTAAATGTGATTTTTTAACTTCATTAGAAATTGTGATGGTTGTGAAACTGCAAACACACCAGAACATTCTTATTCTCCCGATTAAATATAAAAAATGTTGATTCCTTTTTGCTACTATTCACTTCTGATAGAGCGCGAGAGAGTCTCTCTTTCTGGTTATGATTGGGTTTGTAACCTTTATTGATTGTTGCACTGGATTGAACTTAAGGTTTTATTTGATGAAAAACAAAAAATGAAGTTTTTCCGTTGTTTTCAGAATTTTCATAATGATTTGTACTCAATTTTGATGCGCATGTTAAAATCATAGAACTGAATAATGGTACTGAATACAGAATGCCGATTTTCCGTACCTATTTTGATTCTAATGTATTAATCCATCAAGAACTAGTTGTGTCCAATACTAGTGTCAAAATGGAAGTAAAGCAGAAAAGGAAAATTAGGCATTTTACTGGAAAGTAGCTAAGAAGTAGCTAGGTCCCTTATGTTCACTATGAATCTTCCCAAACCATATTGGGGGATGCTATTTTGACTGCTGCTTACCTTATCAATCGTATGCCTCTCCGTACTTTGAATTTTAAAACTCCATTAGAGGTTCTTCAAGGAAAAAGCCCTTACATTGTACCTCCTAAAGTCTTTGGATGTGTTTGCTTTGTTCATCAGAATGGTCTTCGCAAATTAGATCCTAGAGCCTTGAAGTGTGTGTTTGTTGGTTACTCTACTACTCAAAAAGGATACAAGTGTTATCATCCTTCTTCCAGGAAATATTGGGGGTTGCACTGCTCTCGACAAAGGAGAAGGTTCAAAAGCAGAATACTTGTAACTGCAGCAAAGGTGCAGTACTAAACCCTAATGGAAAAAGGAATCACTAGAAAATCACCGAAAATTACCTAAACCAATTGTCACAGCAACAAAGGAATAATGTTTCCTCCAGCAAATTAAAGCAAACAACAGTAGCAGAGGACCCTGCCAATCAATAGCTCAACAGAATCGCAAGCAAACAAACCTATTGAATAAGCCCAAGAATGACGATGCAACTCACTGGGTTGCACATCTCTCTTCAAGCCAACGTCGAAGAGAGGAACTGGAGTGAAAAAGACCATTGGACATGCACCAGCGCGTGAACCAGAGCAGGAAGAAAGAGGTGGTGAGTGGTGGCCATTCGCTTGGAATCCGACGACCGGATTCTAGGGAGTCGCTGATCGGCGGCTGGAGAATATCCTGGGGTGGGCGGTGAGGCAAAATACTAACCCTAGAAAGGCTTCCTAAGGTGGCAGTGGCTTCTCGTAAGGGAAGTTTTCTCGTAAGAGTCCTGGAATTTCTTTTTTTTTTTTTTTTTTTTTTTTAAATGATAGGCTCTAATACCATGGTTTGAGAGATTAATATTGAAATTGTATTTTCTTGTAATCTCAATCAATCGATTACATAGTCTATATATATAGGAATTCCTATGGCTACCTAGCAATTTAGGAAATACAAATCAGTAAATCTAATTAGGAATCTAACTCCCTAATTAGAACTCTATTTTACAACAAAATCTTAACAATAATTTTAACTAATTTCATATTCAACTAAACATAGAGAAATAAAATTATTTAGAAAAATATTCCCAAAAAATAATTATTCAAACAAACAAGTTTCAGTCAACTAAAATGAATACTTTAAAACTGCAATGCCTTCCACAAAAATAATTATTTTGTTTTCTTGATCACAGAGTTCGTAACAATATATAAAATGCATGATTAGGTCTATATATAAGGAATTCCTATGCTACCTAGCTATTTAGGAATACAAATCATAAACTAATTAGGAATCTAACTCCTAATAGAACTCTATTTACAACAAATCCTTAACAAATAATTTTAACTAATTTTCAATATTGCAACTAAACAATAGAGAATAAATTATTTAGAAAAAATATTTCCCAAAAATAAGTTATTTTCCAAAAACAAACAAAGTTTCAGTCCAACTAAAAATTGAATACTTAAAATGCATGCTTCAACAAAATATATTATTTTGTTTCTTGATCACAGAGTTCGTACAATATATAAATATGCATATTGATTGCCCAGTTTTCATGATCACAACAAGAAACTTCTGTCCTTTTGTTTTTCTTTTTGTTTCTTCTTTTGATTAATATTCCTTTTACAGAAGATATATTTTTTTGGATGGCAATGTTTTGAATCATTAATAGATAGGAAAATTTTCTTAGTAATTACATCCCCAAACACCATATGGTTCCTCAAAGAAAAAGTCATTTGGAGTGAATCAGAAAGAATCAAGTGATCTAAAGGATCTAGGGTGGTCACAACAAGGTATCCAATTTGCCATACCTGTTCTACACAATCCTAATCACAGACCTTAAGCTTCATATAGTAATGTGAAAGACAAAATAATGTCATCGCGATATCAACATGGCCAATTTTACACCAGAACACCACATGTACATTCTAATTGGGTTCTCTTGAAAGGTGAATCACATCCAATCACAGAGAATCAATGTCTAAGGAATCACTCAAACAATAATTAATTAAACCATTGACAAATCATAGCAACTATGATGAGAAGAAACTGCAAGAAAACAGGATCCCAAAATTGACATGAAGCAGAGAAAGAGAAGAGGCAAACATTGCACAAGCACAAAATGTCGCATCAGGACTCTAAAATCACCTGAGAACTATACAAAAGCAAAAACCTGCTTGCTGCTGCCGTCTCAGAAACAGCGAAACTTATTTTATAAGAACAGTGAGGATCAACCTGCAAAGAGAATTTGAACAAAATAAATAAATATATAACACTAAATTAACTAGTTATACAATTCAAATAAATAAAAAACTTTGTACCAGCAACAGAACAGTCGTTTTTTCAGATCCCTGAACAGAACTCCACGTTGCTGGTGAGGAGTCAACAACAATAGTTTCACCATACAAATTAGGAAAGATGTGAAGACCCGAAGTAGGATCCCATGCAAGTGCTACAGGTGGAAAACACCGCAGTTTGCAAAGCCCTGAAATACCAAGAAAGCTAGATTAGCAGAAATTTTGATTATTAAGGAAATATATAAAGGATATGAGGAATGGTACATATTTGAGGATTTAGAAACTCTTATCAAGTGAATCTATGTTAAATTCAAATCTAACAAAATGTCCAAAAAGTGAGTTTCCCTAAGATCCGATTAGAGGTCAGATATTTCAAGGATAAATTTATTACAAATGCTAAAAGGCTAAACCTAGCATATGAAATTGAAGAGGGTAGAAGCACATATCAGGACCGAGTTTGTAATAGTTTAAGACTTAAGCACAGTTCAGTCCACCAGGGAAACAAACATGAGAGGTTTAAAAGTACAGAAAATATCAAAAGCGCTAGGCGCCCTTGAGGCCACAAGGTCCTCCCATTGCCCAAGGGGCTCGTACAAGTGAAGTGAGGAATTCCAGATAACTCAAAGTTTAGAATTTTATATTGGTTCCAAAAGGCATTATATGATTTAGAATAGATATATTATTAAAGAATCAAAACTATGTCATGCAATATGCATTTTGAATTGTGCATTCAAAAATTCATTCTAGAAAAGAACATTGGATAATTTAGAATTCTAGATAAAATGTTGAAGAGTCAAAACGTTGAATTGTTTTGTTAATTTAACCTAATTCTTTTGTTGGCTATCAAACTTCCAATTTGTATCCACTTTCTTTTTTCTCCTCCATTTTGTCGTACTTATTTTTAATGGTTAGATTAGATTTTGATCTAGATATTTAATGGCTGTCAAACTTTCCAATTTCAGCAACTTTTTTCTTTTCCATATTTATGTGTTATATTTTGACCTATTAATGGCTATCAAACTTTCTGTATTCCAGCCGCTTTCTTTATATATAACTGGCTATCAAACTTTCTGTAGCTGTGTTCCAGCCGCTTTCTTTTATATGGTATATGATCTAAGTATATATATATATTATTATGCTTAAACCACTAATATTAAATATCTGCAGAGGAACAATAGCAAAATTTGTTTTTAGGCAGCTCCCCAAATACCGTGATACAAACCGCGCCTCTGAAACTATTCAAGAAAGAATTTAAACTGCCTCAAGTGCTTTGTCAGATGGGTTTTAGAGCGTTTGGAAAGACGTCAAACCTGTTGGAGATAGATTGGAATTAGATCAGTTGCTGAAAATTTCTCAGAGTATTATGAAAACTGGCTTTAACATGCCTGATTTTGTTCTGGCTGGCAGTTATCAACTTATTCCACTTCCCCCACCTTCCCATTATTTTTAGGATTTGATTATGCTTTCCCGTCAGTATTCTATATTTTCGTTTTTCTTGTCTTTATTCAGTAATTATTAATTGCCCAGTATTAAATCAGTAGTTTGTAAAAGAGAGTCTGGTCCCTCTCCATACGGACTAAGCAATAAAGCTTCCCTTCCCAATAAAATTTCTTTCTTTTCCTTTATTTTCTGTGCTGCTTATTCATGTATCAGAGCATCATGGTAGTGTCCCACCCGAGCCTCACCTCAAATGATAACCACCACCACAGACCGCCTCCACCCTCGACCACCAAACCCACAATATTCCCATACCGATCCACTACAGAAACTCGTTCTAGCAGCAGCTTTGCTTACCATTGCTTCAAAAGAATGAAGCTATGGATTCTTGCTATGAAAGCTCAATCAGAGCCAAAGGTCCTGCATCTGCATTTATATTTCGTTTTCTTGTTCTTTATTCATATTATTATTGAAGTATTAATCAGAGTTGTAAGGAGTCTGGTCCTCTCCATACGGACTAAGCAAATAAAGCTTTCCCTTCCATAAAATTTCTTTCTTTTCTTTTTATTTTCTGCTGCTGCTATCACTGGTATCAGAGCCAATCATGGTAGTGTCCACCCGAGCCTCCACCTCAAATGATAACCCACCACCACAACCGCCTCCACCTCCACCCAAACCACAAATTCCCATACCCGATTCCACTACAGAAACTGTTCTACAGCAGCTTGCTTACCTTGCTTCTAAGATGGAAGCTATGGATGCTGCTATGAAAGCTCAATCACGAGCCAAAGGTCCTGCATCTGCTGCTGACCAACATTACTCACACCGAAATGCCTGGGAAGATGATGAAGCAGAGGAACACAATTCTCCATGGGGTTCCAGAAATTTTCAGCGCCGTCCTCACACTAAGATGGAGTTTCCACGATTTGAGGGAGGCGATCCACGTGGTTGGATCCTAAAGGCTGAAAAATACTTTCGATATTATCAAACTGCAGAAGAGTTGAAGGTCGATGTTGCCACCATGTACCTCGAAGGAGATGCCCTTGACCTATTTGCTTGGCTTAATAATGAAAAACCACTGTTATACTGGAATGAATTGGTAAAGGCTCTTCAGGAGAATTATGGACCTGCTGAATTCCAGAACCCCGACGAGCATTTATGCAATATCAAGCAAACAGGTTCCATTCAGGAATATCGTCAGGAGTTTGCCAAGAGATCTGCCCGTGTTTCCAATTGGCCAGAGCATTGTCTCCTTGGTGTCTTCCTTAATGGATTGCGAGAAGAACTAAAAGCAGATATCCGGATTCACAAGCCAAGGACAGTCTACCAAGCTATGAGCTTGGCCATCGAGTTTGAGCAAAAATTAGGCTCATCTCGTGGGGCACGATCTCAAACTTGGACAACACCCACAAAACCACCTTCTGCTCCTACAAAACCATTGCTTCCCACTCCACAGGTTGGCGCATGCAAGGACCCAGCAAAGCCATGGGACATTGAACGTCAGAATCGCATTGCTCGTGGCTTGTGTTTTAGATGCAATGAGAAGTATGCACCTGGACATCGCTGCAAGACTGCCTCTTTAACCCTAATGGAGCTGGATGAATTGGAGCAGGAAGAGGAAGAAGCTGCCCAAGATCCTACTAACCTTGCTGAAATTTCATTTAATGCTATTTTGGGCAAGAATTCTTGTGCAACTATGAAGCTGCAAGGAACCCTTCAAGGACGTAAGGTCCTAATTCTGGTTGACAGTGGGTCAACCCATAACTTTGTTTCTGATCAGCTGGTGGAAACTTTGCAATTACCGGAAAAAATAATTCCGGCCTTTGGAGTACAAATCGGCAATGGGCAGGTGATTCAATGTAACAAATTGTGTGTTGATCTCACCATTCAGCTTCCAGGTTTGGCGATTACACAGGATTTTTATCTCTTCTCTATGGGCGGCGCAGACTTGGTGCTCGGAATCCAATGGTTAGCGTCACTTCAGACGATACAGGCCAACTGGGCTGAATTGTTTTTGATTTTTAACCATGAGGGCAAGCAATATAAACTCCAAGGTGTGCCTCCGAAATCTGCAGAAGCTTCTCTCAATGCGTTGTCCAAAGAAAGTTATAGACCAAGTAACCCTATCCCTAAGGAAATTCAAATATTAATTTCAAAATTTAAATTTATATTTGAGGGTCCCATCTCTTTACCACCTTATCGCACCCATACTCATTCAATACCTTTATTACCTAATTCAAAGCCGCCAAACACAAGACCTTACCGCCACCCTTACTCACAGAAAACCGAAGTCGAGCGACAAGTTGCTGAATTACTTGCAGCTGGCTTCATTCGCCCATCCACTAGCCCTTTTGCTAGCCCCGTTATTCTTGTCCTGAAAAAAGATTCCACCTGGCGTATGTGCATAGACTACAGACGCTTGAATCAAATCACCATCCCTGACAAATACCCAATACCCAATGTGGATGAATTACTTGATGAACTCCACGGCTCCACCATTTTTTCTAAGATTGATCTACGATCTGGGTATCACCAAATTCGAGTCAACCCAACCGACATTCACAAAACTGCCTTTAGGACCCATTCTGGCCACTACGAGTTCATTGTCATGCCCTTCGGCCTTACAAATGCACCATCTACCTTTCAGGCAGCCATGAATGACCTCTTTAGACCTCATCTTAGAAAATTTGTGCTTGTTTTCTTTGATGACATCCTGGTTTATAGTTCTTCACTAGAACAGCATCTATCACACTTGGAAACTGTTCTCCAATTATTGCGTGACCAGCAATACTATGCTAAACCTTCCAAGTGCTTATTTGGACAACTGCAGGTGGCCTTCCTTGGTCATATCGTCTCAGCTCAAGGTGTTGGAGTAGATCAAGATAAAATCAGCGCAGTGTTGGAATGGCCAGTTCCTTCCTCAGTTAAAGAATTGCGTGGATTCTTAGGGCTCACTGGATATTACAGGAAATTTGTGCAGAATTATGGGCTGATAGCCAGGCCCCTCACTGCTCTTACAAAAAAGAATGCCTTCCATTGGAACCCAGTAGCCGACTCTGCATTTTTGACTCTCAAAAGGGCCCTCACATCTGTTCCTGTTCTTCGACTTCCAGATTTTTCCTCCCCATTTACAGTAGAGTGTGACGCCTCCTCTGAGGGAGTGGGAGCGATTTTGCTACAAGATGATCACCCTATTGCTTATTTTAGCAAAGGGTTATCTTATTCCAGCCGCCTCAAATCTGCTTATGACAGAGAACTTTTGGCTTTGGTTCTAGCTTTACAAAAGTGGAAACATTACTTGATGGGCAGCCACTTTTATGTTCGTACAGATCATAGAAGTTTAAAATATCTCTTGGAGCAGCGCCTTTCCACCAATGAACAGCAAAGATTGCTTCTGAAACTCTTACCTTTTGACTTTTCTATTGTCTATAAAGCAGGTAAAGAAAATATTGGCGCTGATGCACTCTCACGTCGCCCACAACACGCTGACTTTTTGGCACTTGCAATTCCTATCCCGCTCGATTTCTCCAATTGGGCCCAAGGATTACAAGACGATGAATATACCCGAGATTTACTAGCTTCCCTCCAAGCAGATTCGGCTTCCTATCCAGATTTTCATGTGGCCGATTCTAAGCTTTTTTACAAAAATCGTTTGGTCATCCCAAATGATATGGCTTTGCGACAGAAACTTTTAGCTGAAGCTCATGACACTCCAACAGCAGGCCACGGCGGGTATTTGAAGACCTTGAAACGTCTCAGTTCTACCTTTT